GGGGCTTTTGAATGTCTACTGGGAGCATTTTGCGGTGGAAAGCTAGAATTGTCAGTCTGGGCTTCTGCTGTTCGGCTTTTCTTGGGGTTCTCTCGGTTTTTTTCGGGGGCGGTCTTGAGCGCTCGCTGGCTCTTCTAGGGGGCTTTCGGGCCAGCGTCAACGGGGCCTCTTGGGGCCCTCTTGGGATGCTTCTTGGAGGCCTCTCGGGGCGATTGGGCGGCGCGTAGTGCCGTCTTGGGGCCATCTTGGGCGTCTCGGGGCCATCTTGGGCGTCTTGGGCGATATCTGGGTTCTCTTGGGCCGTCTTGGCCTGTTTTGGGGCCCTCTGCCCTCTCCATGGCGCGCTCGGTCCTGGGTCGCCCCAGGCCAGTGGGCGGGGGTCGAATCTTCGGTTTTTGGCCCCCCTGGGGGGGTTATGCGGGGGGGTATTTCACGTGCCTAATGACCCACGAGCGAAAGCGGAGGAAAAAGGGCGACGGGGAGGATGGGCGAGAGGCAGAGGGGCGCAAGGGGGATGGAGGAATGCGGAGGATCGGTCGACGCAGGAAGAGGAGGAGTAGTCACGATCTGGTGCGTCTGCTATCGAAGATGCCTACGGCGAATCACCGCCGCCCCCTGCCTTTTTAGAAGCGCCTATGTGGCCGAACGTTGAGGCCAGGCCTGCCAAGCTATCGGCCCATGTGTTCCCCGAGTCGGTTTGGAAAGCCTTTGGGGGCACTTGGGCCGTGTCGGGCCGCCAGAAGACAGAAAAAAAACAAATGCCACAATCCTTCAACAACTCAGGGGAAATCGATGATTTTGGTCTTTTCGGGCCTTCCTGGAAGCCCTCTCGGAGGCCTCTTGGGCCGTCTTGGGTCATCTTAGTGCCGTCTTCGGCCGTCTTGGTGGACCCCTGGCCCGTCCGACGCCGTCGGAAGCCGTTTGGGGGGCCTCTCTGCGCCGACTTGGGGCCCTCTTGGAATGTTCCAGGGCCATCTTGGAGGCCATCTTGGGCGTCTTAAAAGCCTCCTAGGCCGTCTTGGGGGCCTTTTGGGGCCGTCTTGGGGGCCTCGTGGGTCGTTCTGGGGTCATCTTAGAGGTCTCTTGGGCGATCTTTGGGCGATCTTTGGGGGCTCTTAGGGCGTATCGGGCAGTCGGAAGTCTGAAACGAAGCAAATGTCAAACATCGTTCAAAAGCCTTGGGAAAACAGTATTTTTTGCCTTTTTCTTGCCTTCTGGAGGCCCTCTTGCAGGCCTCTTGGGCCGTCTTGGACCAGCTTCGAGCCAACTTCGGCTATCTTGGTGGGCCCCTGGCCCGTTTGACGCCGTCGGAAGCCGTTTGGGGGGCCTTTTTAGGCCGACTTGGGGCCCTCTTAGGGTGCTCCAGGGCCGTCTGAGAGGCCATCTTGGGCGTCTTGGAGGCTTCTTGGGCCGTCTTCGGGCCCTCTTGGGGCGGTCTTGGGGGCGTCTGGGGCCGTCATGGCCCATCTTGGAGGCCTCTTGGGCGATCTTGGGGCGATCTTTGGAGCCTTTTGGGCCGTCTTGGGCCGTCGGAAAGCCGAAAAGGCGCAAATGCCCAAATCCTTCAAACACCTAAGGGAAATCAATGATTTTGGCCTCGTCGTGCCTTCCTGGAGGACCTCTTGGATGCCTCTTGGGCCGTCTTGGAGGCCTCTTGCGGGCCTTTTGGGCCGTCTTAGACCATCTTGAGGCCATCTTTGGCCAGCTTGGATGCATCTTGGGGCCATCTTAGCCGTCTTGGAGGCCATCTCGGCTGTCTTGGAGGCATCTTGGAGGCATCTTGGAGGCCATCCTGGGCCATCTTGGCCGTCTTGGGACCATCTTGGGCCATCTTGGGGCGGAACAGGCATTGACTTGTGCAGTTTCCCCGTGGCCGGCGGGACGGGCCGGAGCCCCAGGGGGAGTTCTTTTGGACAAAGAACCAAAACCAAAACCGAGAGGGTCTACCACGCCAGGCATCCCTGCGATGAATCGACAGGTGGCGGCGGATCGAAGACGCCTACGGCGAATCACCGCCGCCCCCTGCCTTTT